TTAACCAAAAGATCGTTATCGTTTTTCGTTTCGCGATAAAAATAATCGTGCAAAACGTGCAAATTACGAAACGCAATGAATCCACGCAAATCGGGGACGGTTGGCGAAACGCGGTAGACGAACCGAAAATTCAGCACGTGTGCCCTTATTGAAGGCCACCCAGTTCCCTCGCAGTTTTCCGCTCTTCCTCTCTCTCTCCCTCAGTCTCCCTCTTCCTTTCCTTCTCCCTTTTCCCCACGATGCAACCCCTCTGCAATCCGACTGTGGAGAGGCCTCTCCTCCCTATTGGCCTTCATTCGTAGGGAAGTTGCCGCTAACGGATGTCTGTATTGTAGAGCCCACCACTTTACTTTTCGGCTGGGTGCTGGGTGCGAATACACGAACGCACGGATGACACCTACGATATATCACGGCTGTTCCCCTTCGTGAATTATCGCGCGTATATCCGCGTCATGAGTCAAAAATTACCGTTAGGCTCCTTTGATCCTGTTACCACGTGCATCGGTGGCTTACATTTAATAGAAAAGATCGCGTGGTTATGCTCGTGCCATCGATGGAATTCTATGGAAGAAACCGTAGAGAACGGTCTTAAGATTTTGACAGTTTCGTAATTACGGCAAGATTATAACGGATGATAGTTAGCGTACGTTGACTCGGTAAGTCTTTAGAAATAGGATTATAAATATAAGTCGATTATTTCGTTATATAATTTATCGTGGCTAAGTTGTTGCGGATTTATCGATATCGAGTTCGATTGAATTACTGTTATGATCTTTGAAGTTTATTTAAAGAGAACTTTTGCTAAGAGTTTATTTATGGATTATCTATGAACATATTTTACTTGTGACTAGAAGTTAAGGATGAAGTGTTGAATAACATGAAAATTCTACATATTTGAAATGTTCTAACATTAGTATACATGTGTTCAGAATATGCACGACAAAATTCAACAAATGGAATCTCATGCCAGAAATGTACTTTCATTGGATACTTATTTATAATTTATAGAGATGATTAACGGGAATCATATCTAATTTAAGAAATATTCGCAATGTCACTCGAGAAAAATAATATTCGATTTCGGATTTAATTTTTATTATTCTAAATTAATATTTTCAAAAGTAAAATATTTATAAAATTTCTTCCATGATCTAATTACTTTTCATTTCTTAAATAATTCATAAAAATATTGCTATTATTACAATGATTATCATAATAATTAATATATTTTTATTTATTCTTCAAAAAGTAAAAAAAAAAAAAAAAAAAAATT